AACTACTCACCAAATATTTTAAGCAAACAAGGTCCATCACATGCACTACTTGTTTCGTTTGGAATCTTTATAGGCACACAAAATTCTTTCCACGAATTATGACGAAGCATGGTCAGGAGTGGATACCACCAGTGAAAAGAGGAAAACCCTTTGCTGCGAATTTGTTTATTTGCAGACGCCAACCCATTGGACAGGAAAGTAAACGTCTCAGATGCACGTAGCTTTGTTTGAAATAGACATTCGCACTCGTCCTATTGAACTTGCCTGGGCATTCATTAGCTATTGCACAACTGATAAACTTCAACTCCCATCAGATGCGGAGGCGGAACTTCGACATGACCACGAACCACTCGCATGTCTCACCGGAAGTATACGCCGTTCGGAACCTGACCTGGTCTACTCGCAATAACCTCGCAACGTCCTTAGAAGACCTGCTACTAACGTAACTTTTGTCATCGTCATAACGGAGACGTCTTCATTTAAATGAGAGGAGAGGAAATTGGACCTCTGGCACTTTAGTGGGTTGACAGAGCATTGACGGTTTTTTAAGGTTTGACTTAGGAGCTGGCTTTTCACTTAGTCTAAGACATCCACGGATGGTTCACGGAACATCTAGCCACGTGAGCCTGAAGTAGTAAAAATCGGATACCCCATCGCTCTGTCGCCCATTCGGACTGGCTAGTGTCCACCGGTAGGCCTGGACCGCGGGTGCCATGTAAGTTCTGGAGGCTACCATCAAAAGGGCGTGCGAACGAAAAATAGTCACCAAACTCCGGTGTTTCTATAAGTCATGCTCCATCTTTCGGTTTGGATATTGTTTTGATTGAAGATTCCGAAATAATCTCCCTAATATAAATCCCCTTCTCGTTTTGGCCATCATGAATGTATTATGCCTCTACCACAAATACAAATTATTACGCGATGGTGCATCCAGCTGGATGAAAAACATAAGCAGTCTTCAATGGTTAAACAGGCCTCCTTAACTATTGACACTAGATTCAATTAACTGACCTGCATCAGTATGCTAACATACGATTCGTGGGAAGCGGAGTTTTCATGCTGCCGTTAGATTATGGCATTATATTTTCCGGGTACCTCTGAGTAAACGATACCTTGAGGTGAAAACCCCGGTTTGTGTGTGGACTGGCTGTAATCCGGCTTCTTTAAGTTCACTGCCCTTACAGTACTCCACAAAAGAACCCGATATTCACTGTCGTGTCACCGTTGATATATGTACTCCCAGCCACAATATTATAGTGAGTTACATATGGATGAATGGTAACTTTCGAACTTACACAGTGGCCAAAATACTAACCATGGTTCCATGATTCTCCCCATCAAAATTGTCGATTTTAATATTGGTCTGCTTTGTAAATTGGAATTTGTGATATTATTCAAGTAAAAATTGAATTGGACGTCGGAAGGATTGTCTGTTTGCCGGTATTCTAATGTTAAGTAGTCGATTACAGTATTTCTACCTGCAGTGTTCGTCAAAAATGCACGCAAGTCGTTCACGCAAGGGCGTGAAAACGAATAGCTCATCTCCAAGGGGATTTGAAAGTATATCTAGTATTTCGGTTTAATTTGGAATTTCACCAAAGGTCATTTGCGCCCTTTTTATGCTCTAAAGCGAGGGGCATAAAGACCACTAAAATCGATCTACCCTTAAAACCTACGATTTGGTCGAACTCTTCCAGTTGAGGTCACGTTCCGGTATTCGGATACCTTCACCGACTCGATCAATGAACCGATTCGGTGAAGCTTGACTGCCCTAATAAAGCGTCTATCGTCCTTCCACAACCTCATATCAGCCATTCGTCTGTAAAGAACACATGCTCACTAGAACGTGTGTGGTCAACGGCCTACTATTTATGACAGATATATGGGTAATGCATTCAATCCATATCGGCACATTCCAGCAGTGGTTGTTAAACTTGCACATAAGATAGAGCAATTTGGTTTCCACGATTAATGATGTTGCTGGCTGTGTTTCTTTTTACACCAGTTCGGTTTCGTGTTTGGCTGCAATGTGACTTTGAGTGGTGAATTGTGGCTAGGCAATCAGTAGCAGGGCTCGGAGAGATCAATGGAAACACAATATGGTATCGCGATATGTGATCAAGTAATTTTTCGTGCGTCTTAAGGTCCGGAGTCCAAAAGTACACACTGTCAGATACGACAATTTTGCAAAAGATTACCAATAAACTGAACGGACGTGGTTTGAAAGGTGTTCAAAATCTCCCAGGAATTTACAACTCATTTTCGCATGCTTTCCGATAGTGAACCGCTTGCATGCACACTGAAGAGTTAGACGCATCATTCCATTTGACAGACCGAGTGGTATTTTTGACTAACTTCTGTGTTAAACGTGTATCTTTTGACTCGTGTTAGAAGTGACATTATCCCTGGTGCTTGCTCTATTCAGCACAACATCAACTCAACTGTAATAACGAGTCCCGATAGGGTTGAAGACTGAACTAGTGGCCGAATGTACCATCAAGTTTGACTGCAGCAAGCATATTCTGTTGGAGTAGAAAACCAATCAGGAGACAAGGTAACAGACCAACCAATGGAACCACCAAACCGGACAACCAATCATGACCGAATATCAACCCTTTCTAGCAGCGCGTATATTGACACGGACGCACCACCACTCAACACAATCACACAATCAAGTAGATCATAAGGTTGAGGGAAACTCGGGGACTGCGCCTACCTCATGAGCCCCAAGAAGGGCGAAACCGGTCGTGGGCTGTCAAAGAGTTTTCAGCAACCTTGTGAGTAGTTTCCTTTACAATCACTGACCCATCGCTACGTCCCACTTCGCTGGTTGACAATGCACCGATGATATCACTTTGATTGCAAGTTGGACTGTCTTCAACCAAACCAGCTAGCTCGGCGAACAGCGATCACACCCTGAAACTATCGCGACATGACTTGTTGTCAAAATTCGTTTCTTTCTGCTAGCCTGGAGTTCTCATGACTGAACCAGGCAACACAGCCGAACGAGGTAGACCCTGAGGTTGACGATATTTCCTTGAATAGCCTTGAGAGAAGCGGCAAACACATGAGTTGGAAGGTGGGCAGTTTATCCTTTTTGACAGTATTTATGGCAGAGAAACAAAGCCGACCTCTTCCACTGTAACTTTAGCTGCTCTGATTAATGGTTTCGAATCAGCTCATGCTAATAATCGACCAATTCATCAGGACTATCGGAAATGAATTTTTTTCTTCAGAATTTCCAACTGTGATTTGAAAAATATGGTCTTCAGTCGACTTGACTCTGTTTTGCATATCCTGTTGTTATCTTTTCGTAATCCAAGCCACCTGAAACCCGAAGCAAGTAATGGGCGCGACTGGCGCCTACATCCAATTTGATAAACCTCTTCAACTTCACACTACGCGTTTCTATTTTGCAACTTTGAGTCTGCTTCGCCAAGCAGTTTATTGGCGCTGCATCGCTGTTAAATCGCACATGGAACAGTTGGTCAAGAACACTGTTGTCTAAACGAGTCACATTATCCACAGGGTTGCTGAAAACTCTTCGTCAAGGATAACTACACTAATTCGATCGCTGCTGTACTTCAGATTGCTCTGGGTGGGGGGCATAGTCCACACCATCGATCAAGATGGGTGTTGGAAAGCGACTTACGGGTCCGTGTGACGAGTCGAACTGATAGAAAGTTGCACAGGATACTTGTCTCTCCGTAGCACATCCCCATATTTCAAACAGCCTGTGATTTTTAGTCTAGGCGGCTTTGTTTTAATGAGCGTTACTTTGTGCGTGGCGAAATGCTGTCACTAGCAAATCAAGCTGACGCTAACTGGAGACTCAACTGAATTCAAGCTGAATATCTTCTGCAACTGAGTGTGTTTCACAAGGGATGCCTCATGTTTCATTTGACACGATATTCGAGATATCACACTCTATTTTATTGAAGGAAGCTATTCACAGGGTTGCTGAAGACTGATTGATAGCCCACCACCTGTTTCACCCATCTTCAAGCTCTTCAGGTAGACTCAGCCTCCAAGTTGCCGTCAAAATTTTGTTTAACTTGGTCAGAGAATTCTCTTCAACCGATGAAATGCATTCACTTACAAATTAAATAGACGTTTCCGTCAACCTTGTGACAAGTGTGTCTTATCACGGAAAAATACTGCCATATCTCGATTATCGTACCAACTGAAACATACGGCAGCCTTCCGGTGGTACACGCTTTGAAGCACACCATAAATGAGCGGCCCGGCTGAGTTGAGTTGAATCCCCCATTAGAGCCAAATTAGTGTGCGAATAAGCATACTTTGCAAATTCCGTCCGATTAGGGTTCAAGCAGAACATAAGGTTGACTACTCTATGTTCACCTCGGGCCCTATCCAGATTCTTCTGCTATTAGTTTATCTTACATGGCCATGTGCCTCCTGTTACCCTCTACTGTTGACGTGGTGGGCAGCTCGGCGCGTTTCTATGTACAGAACACCCTATATTTGTTCGAACATTCTAGCACTGGTATATCCTATCGTTGTCTGCCGTCAGTCTTCTAGGCGGTTTCTTAGCTACTTTCGGACGTCATAGGCTGGACCGTTCGTTGGAGTGAGGTGACCCGTTTGACAAGGCTTGTTGTGGGCTCAGAAGAAAGGTGATGATGCGAATAGACGTCAATAAATTCCAGCGAGATCTGCAGGTCATATTTCGGAAACAGCAAAAGTGTGTTAAGTTCAACTTACGGTGCTTGCCTAGACAGCCCGTAGCTAGGCTGAAGGTAGCCCGTTCTCCGAACTTGAAACGGCGGTGCGTTCACGGCCTCAACACGCAAGTGCGCCGTTTACCGCGAAGTCTGGCGGCAATTGTGGCAGACACACCCAGCCAGTAAGGGACCAACAATTGCGTCCTCACTGTGCTTGTCGCAACACGCTCCCAACCTTCAGTCAACAACCAATCGGCTGTCAACACGATCAAGCCACGATAGGCCACTCTGGCGTGTCGTGTTCATGTCGAAGTTATGGTGGCACTGTGGTCATTCGCGTCCCAGACACCCGCTGTGATGATCCATCATGCTGGTACGACTGCGAGGGTCCCTAGAAGGCCCGTCAAGTACACATCAGATGAACTGAAGCTATTGGTGAAGCTGACCACCCAGGCACGTGACCTACTGCAGCAAGAAAACAGAATCAACCTGTTCATGGAAAAAGCGGTCTGGACTGAGATAGCTAATCATATGCATGCAACGGGATTCCCGAAGCGATCGTGGGTCGTACTGAGGACGAAGGGAGTGCGAATGTTAGCAGATTCTCTCACTGAACGGCGGTGTACCATTTCTGCTGTCAACTCGTTGGCGGATTATTCTCAAGCATCTGATGGTGTTAGTACCATTTATTCGAGCAGCTCGAAGCCACCTGATCATATGGGTACCAACGACTTGGAATGCCTGATGCAGCGTGGCAACCAGATAACGACTCCATCGTCTATACCCTACATACAACCTCCTCCGTTGATCCATTCATCTGAGGCATCAGCGACGACGTTGATGGCTTTAGCTCGCAGTGATAGTTTCCCTCATGCATTTGTTTCATCCACTTCATCCAGTGCTGTTCCACAAATTTTAAATGTCCGCTCAACAGCAATCGCATCGTCTGCTAATACCCCGAGTTTGAGCCCGAGCTTGTTAATGCAAACAAGTGGAGATTATTCTGTATCAACACCCGCTCACGTTGCTCCAGTGAATGAATTCCGATCGCCTATTTCGGACCATCCATGTCGTATTCATTTATCAGTTTCAAGTGATGAAGATGACAAAGTGACAACCGCAACTACAGCCTCACGGGGAACTACTGTGTCTTCACTATCGACGCTACCGTGTGTCGGGTCCGGGTAAGTTATTCATTATTGGGCCTGCATATATATATATATATATATATATATATATAT